CTGGGAGCAGTGCCTGTGTCCTTGCAGCTGTTGTGTCCCAGTTGACATTAAAGGGACTGCCTGTATGCGCAGAACACCTGGGCATCCCTGTAAACATAGCCCTTGCACAGTTGTGCGCATTGATACACCCTGTGTGAAGGAAGCCTTTGGTTACCCATATTCAGTAAGCAGACATAAAGACTTACATATGTTACAAATGGTTTAATGTTTTCATATCACAAATGGACAACAGAAATCATGATGAAAATGTGATGGGCAATATATAATTTTAGGGACAATGATAAATGTACAAATACATTAAAATACATTCATTCTGCCTGCCCTTTGCCTTAAAAGAACATGTTGATGTAAGCAACTAAATGTTAAGTAACACTGGCAGAGAAAACAAAGAATGTTAAGATTTATATTGCTCATTGCCTAAATTAATGTTGTAGAACATAATCACAGCTGTGGAAAGAAAACAGTGCTCTGAAATTTACAGTCCCCTAAGATATGAAAATGTATTTATTCCTTCACTGGTTTTATTTCCAAATTAGTTCTTCATTTCAAACCCAAGTTTCTTTTTTTTTTTTTTATCCTACATTATTAGGAACAGTGACATATGGCACTATATTTGTCCTAAAATACAAAGAACAAATGCTAGAAGGATTCCAAACATTCGACGCAGCAAATTCTTTTTGCATGTAGAAATGAATATGCAATTAGAAGTTTCAGAACTCACCAGGAAAGTATCATTTCCAAGGACTTTTCCTATTAGGCCAACTCAGACTAAAAACAACCTTATCTCTGCTTGAAATATTTTAATAAGAGCTGGCAGGTAGCTTCATGACAACTCTGCTTCAAAACAATTTTAATAGAAGGGAAAAATGAGGCTGTCTTCTATTTTACGTAAGGGGGCTAAGGTGCCTGCAAATTAACTGACTAATTAGAAAGAGAATGATAAAGCACATCTTCCTGGAGCTCAACTGGGGAGTCCCCAGAGCTCAACAAAATGCATTTCTGCTTCATTATTGTTTAAATAGAAATCTCTGTGTAAACTGAGAGGCTTTAAACACAATAATTAGAGCTTTTTTCAGTTTTAATTTAAAAATGTTTTATTTTTAAAAAGCTTGAGGCAAACAGCCTTGGCTATTGCCCATAAATACGTTCGGCAGCATATGTTCCCTCCAGGGGTGGTGCAGGAAATATTGCATTAGGACCATAATGACATATGACAGCAATTAATCTGATACCAAAATGGGATTACCAGATTGTCTTCGCTTTCCTGTTCAATGCTTCTGGGAATTCAGTTGGAGTTATCATTTCTAACCTGAAAATGACAACGAAGTTTCTCTACTAGCTACCCTTAGTATGGTACAATCTCTCCTACAATCATAAGTAATATAATAATATATAATGTGCCATGCTGCAATGTAATCGTATTAAAAGAAAGCAATACAAGCAGGGACAACCTTTTTCCTTTCACCAAGATACAAGATTAATTTGACAGGCTGCTGTACACTCACTCTTTCCTTTCATTTTCTATTGTATACTATGTGATTGCTGTGATTGGACACAGCAATCACATGGTAAAATATCATGTGATCACCCGGACACAGGTAATGTGATCCACTGTGTCCAGTTGGCACATGGATCACTGGGTTCCCAGGTGCGCACTCTATGAGCCACGCAGGAACTACCAATGTGGGCTTACGTACAGTTACACACCGACACTGCTTCACGTCTGCTGTTATAGGCAATGGGCAGATGGGCAGAGATTAAAGCAGTTCTTCAGCCTGAAAAAAAAATTAAAAGTCAGCAGCTTCAAATACTGTAGCTGATGACTTTTAATAAAAGGAAGGTATCTGTCCAGTGATCCAGTGTTCTCCTCACCCAATCCGGTTCTTTATCAGTCTTCGAGTCCACAGCTCTGGCATCTTTAGTGTGGGAAGCCGGCTGTGACTCCTTGAGCCTTCATAGCCAGCCTCCTACTGAGCATGCACAAGCCATGCTGCACTCTGTGAATGGTCCGGCACCTTATGGGACCTGTGACGTGTCGATAGGTCACCATGCACAGTTGCACCAGATTCTGAGTTTTAGTAAATCCCCCCCTCTGTGTACGCTTTATTATTAATAGTATACTTTTTGATACTTATAAAGCTATGATTTCACTTCATTTTTCTGTATTCTGCTTGTAATTCTGAATTTTGTGATGAATATATTCAATGAGATATACTGATCCAAATATACAAATGTTTATTTCTGGATATACATGGATCTGATTTTAGCTCACATTATACAGTCTGCAATCAATAATGCGTTCCTAAATCTTGACCTAAATCATATTGTGAATAGACCTTTAGATTTATATCACTGAGAAATGTGATATTCATAAATAGTAAAAAGAGTGTTTTAAAGTGTAATTTCTGCTCATTTAGAGCAGGAGACAGCACGCTGAGCATGTGCACAGTTTCAATGGGCGCACCGGCCTTGTACCTTTAAAAATTCATTGATTGTATCGTTTACTGAGGAAGAAACAAGGCCTCGAAATGCGTCAGTGGAGATCTATTCATTCCATTACAGATATCATCCAATATGATTGGACCTTGCTGTACTTCATATGATGTGCCTTTGACATTTTTTGTGAGTATATTACCATTTTTTATACAAGAAATGAATTTTTAAAGGTAATGCACAAGGCCGGTGCGCCCTCTGTTTTGTCTTTTTGCATGCAGTTCATTTGGATTCCACTGGTCCGTTGAGGGCAGCAAGGCGTGCATCTTCTAGGCATCCCATGTGTGGTTCTAGTTACTGTGGACTCTATCATCCAGCGCAGGAGTAGAAGCTTTTGCTACTTTTTGTCGCACAGTTTCAATGGCCTGCAGCAGCTGCTAGGGGACACACGGTTCAAACATCCAGCCATTCCTGCAAACGGCAGGATGGAGGATGAATCAAAGAGCCACGTGTTTTCTGGAGAGGCCCCCAATATCTGTATCTATAACAGGAAAATTGCTATCTGCGTCAGGGCTGGTTCACACCAGAACAAAGTGATGGGAAGGCGTGCTCCATGCCCGTTTCCTGCACTGCAGGTGACCGCACTGTCCTTGCGATCCACATGCGGGTGCCAATTATTAGTTAATGGCACCCCAAATCCAGATCGCAATGTACTGCATTTACAGACACCAAATTGCACGATACAGCAGTTTGATGCAGGGCGTTTTTTAAAAAGGAGAGTCGTTAGTGCGAATTGGCCCTCAATCTTCTTCTCCTGTCAAGCTGGCACACAGTGGTAAGCACCGGCTTTGCTCTGCACATTTCAATTGCACAGATCTATCTCCTTGCTCAAAAAATTACCAACAAAGTGGAAGAGGAGGTACCTGGGGTATAACACCCCCCACCAAAAAAATGGGGTAATAGGGGGAAATGCCTGAAAACACTGACATACCTAAACACAGCTGAACTTATTTACAAACCTCAACTATCTGCAGGAAATATATCACATTTTTACTGGTGTTTAGCTGCTGTCAGGTACAACGTCCGTGTGAATGTAGCCTTAATCACTCTCTTCTCTAGCCAAGCACAGAGCTACAGGTAAATATCTTTTTCCCCTAAAGTTGAGGTCCGCAAATTTAACCTAGGCATGGAGGATGAACCTGGACCCTGTGCATGCGCAGGAACGCCGCAGGTCACTCCAGGATCTGTCATGGTGTTTCTTTGCATGTGCCCAGTCCTGCAGACTCTAGAAATTCTGGAAACCCCCCTGCACACTGCTATATACCGTATTTTTCGCTCCATAAGACGCACCTAACCATAAGACGTGCCTAGGTTTTAGAGGGGAAAAACAAGAAAAAAAATATTCTGAACCAATGGACTGCAGACATAGTACATGAGATGACCAGAGACTGCAGACAGTACAAGAGATGACCAGAGACTGCGGACACAGTACAGGAGATGACCAGAGACTGCAGACACAGTACAGGAGATGACCAGAGACTGCGGACACAGTACAGGAGATGACCAGAGACTGCGGACACAGTACAGGAGATGACCAGAGACTGCGGACACAGTACAGGAGATGACCAGAGACTGCGGACACAGTACAGGAGATGACCAGAGACTGCGGACACAGTACAGGAGATGACCAGAGACTGCGGACACAGTACAGGAGATGACCAGAGACTGCGGACACAGTACAGGAGATGACCAGAGACTGCTGACAGAGTACAGGAGATGACCAGAGACTGCGGACACAGTACAGGAGATGACCAGAGACTGCGGACACAGTACAGGAGATGACCAGAGACTGCGGACACAGTACAGGAGATGACCAGAGACTGCGGACACAGTACAGGAGATGACCAGAGACTGCTGACACAGTACAAGAGATGGACCAGAGACTGCAGACATAGTACAGGAGATGACCAGAGACTGCAGACACACTATAGGAGATGACCAGAGACTGCGGACACAGTACAAGAGATGGACCAGAGACTGCGGACATAGTACAGGAGATGACCAGAGACTGCAGACATAGTACAGGAGATGACCAGAGACTGCAGACACAGTACAGGAGATGACCAGAGACTGCGGGCATAGTACAGGAGATGACCAAAGACTGTGGACATGGTACAGGAGATGACCCGAGACTGCGGACATAGTACAGGTGACCAGAGACTGCGGACATAGTACAGGAGATGACCAGAGACTGCGGACATAGTACAGGAGATGACCAGAGACTGCGGACACGGTACAGGAGATGACCAGAGACTGCGGACACAGTACAGGAGAAAGACCAGAGACTGCAGACACACTATAGGAGATGACCAGAGACTGCAGACACAGTACAAGAGATGGACCAGAGACTGCGGACATAGTACAGGAGATGACCAGAGACTGCGGACACAGTACAGGAGATGACCAGAGACTGCAGACAGTACAGGGGATGACCAGAGACTGCAGACAGTACAGGGGATGACCAGAGACTGCAGACAGTACAGGGGATGACCAGAGACTGAGGACAGTACAGGGGATGACCAGAGACTGTGGACATAATACAGGAGATGGACCAGAGACTGTGGACACAGTACAGGAGATGACCAGAGACTGCGGACACAGTACAGGAGATGGATCAGAGACTGCGGACATACTACAGGAGATGACCAGAGACTGCGGACACAGTACAGGAGATGACCAGAGACTGCGGACACAGTACAGGAGATGACCAGAGACTGCAGACAGTACAGGGGATGACCAGAGACTGCGGACATAATACAGGAGATGGACCAGAGACTGTGGACACAGTACAGGAGATGACCAGAGACTGCAGACAGTACAGGAGGTGACCAGAGACTGCAGACAGTACAGGGGATGACCAGAGACTGCAGACAGTACAGGGGATGACCAGACACTGTGGACCTTTAGGGAGGGAGGAGTAGCGGGTACCTGAATTTGACAGGTACCCGCTCCCACTTTCGCGGAGTTCTCCTTCCTATACTGTGGGCACCCGACTTTGACAGCCGAGTGCCCACTGCGCATGCGCGAGAAGTGCTGCGCATTGTGAATGGCCCCGCGTCTTTTGGGACCTGTCAAGTGTCCCAGAAGACACCGAACCATTCACAAAGCGCAGAGCTTCTCACGCATGTGCAGTGAGCACCCGGCTGTCACAGATGCCGGGGCGGGAAGAAGCCAGCGCGGGAAGACTACAGCGTTGGCCCAAGGAACAGGTGAGTTCCTGCCGCAGAGAACAGCTGAGCGGCCGGCCCGGTATTCTGACATGGTGGCGGTGGAAATACCAGACCGGCCGCTTTATATTCGCTCCATAAGACGCACTGATATTTTCCCCCCTTTTTTGGAGGGAAAAAAGTGCGTCTTATGGAGCGAAAAATACAGTACCCTTTCCAGCAAATGTTGCAAGAAAAAATAGCGATTGCAATACCGGCCAACTGTGTCACAGTAATCCCGTTTGGCCAGTCCTACTTTGCTCTGCTAACGCAAACGCTACTGAGGGCACAATGCCAACCTGGGGCAAAAGGACACAAAGTGGGGGAGAGCTACCAGGTTATGGCTTGGTTCACACCAATGCATTTTGCGTTTTGTCCATTTTGTGGTGCTTTTTTTGCAGTGCATTTTGCTTTTTTTTCAGTGCTCTTATTTTGTTTGTTTGTTAAAGGGGAAATGTTTTTGTTGCTGACCATAAAAAAACACGAAATGCTGGAAAAATGCACTACAATGCATTATGTCAATTGAACTCTATTGTAGCAAAAACGCTACTTTTTGATTTTAAAAAGTCACAGATCCTTTCCAAAAATGCATCAGCTCAAAAAAGTATAGATGTTAACGTGTCCCATAAGAAACCATGTTAAATGGACTGTAGTGTGTTTCTGTAAAAATCACTAAAAAATGCATTGGTGTGAACCAAGCCTTAGGTCTGGCTACTGACCTGCACTGCAACAGAAACAAGATATACAGTTGTGTTCAAAATAATAGCAGTCAGACATCACTAACCTGATCAATCACTGTTTTTGGTAGAAATGATATTTCTACATGGCAAATAATTTACTAGCAGGTGTAGTAGAGTAATAGAAATCCAACAGACCCAACAGTCATGACATGCATGCTGCTGATTCTGTGTAACTGAATCACTAATTGAAAGGGGCATGTTCAAAATAATAGCAGTGTGGAGTTCTATTAGTGAGGTCATTCATTCTTTGAAAAACCTTTTTTTACATTTCTTCAGTTACTGTAGTTCCTGGTTTCTATGCCTAGGCAAATGATGTCATACATCCCAGAAGTCTTCAGGAGGAGAGGGAGGGTTTTCTCAGCTTAGCCAATGCCTGTGCTAAGGGCAGATGGATTCCAGGAACTAAATACTACATGAATCATTTGCCCTTACTCAAGATGGCCACTGCCGGAAATACCCAGGGGGTGTTTTGCAAAATGAATTCTCAGCAAAATAAAGGAGCAAGGAGACATGGATGGATGGGAGAGTTTGCTTTGAATTTTAACAATGGATTTTAACAATGAATTAAATAATTTTTGGTTTCTTGTGCTCAGATGCAGTGCAGTTCCACTTTAAGCTGGCCAACTGCATCAAAGTAATCCCTTTTAGCCAGTCCTACTTTGCTGTGCCAACGTAAATGCTACCCAGGTTGTCATTGTGTCCATAGTAGCATTTGCATTGACACAGCAGAGTAGGACTGGCTAAAAGAGATTAATATGACACATGGCCGGCTTAACCTCTTCGCACCAGCAGCACGCAAATGTGTGGCCTCCCGGCATCTGGGCCTTGACGCTGAGCGGGCGTACATTTGGGTGCAATTAAGAAAAACATATGTGCTGAGAGCGCGTGCCCTGTGCTCTCCCAGCACACATATCCAGTACTCACGGAAATGTCCCAATCTCCTCTTTCAATCGGGACCTTTCCCGATCATGTGACCACCGTGACGGCGAATTACGGCGGTCACATAACCCTAAAACCCCGCCTCCCGGCTTCTTAAACCCTTAAAAGGTACCAAGGGGTTAAACATGTAGTGCGATATGTGTGAACTAAAAATCCCTATTTTTTTTATTGCAAAGTTTGCTGAAAAGGGTATATAGCAGTGTGCAGGTGGTTTTTCCAGAATTTCTAGTGTGGTTACACCCCTTTAGCACCTGATAGATAAATGCATGTACAAGCTATTGGGATTTGAGCACAGGTATCTCTTGTGTTGGTCCTGCCTCCTTGGATTTCAACATCATCCATCCCAGGAGGCAGCTCGCAGGATGTCATGCATGCACAAAAATGGTGCAGGGTCTCCGCCGGTTTACTAGCGGAGTCCACGGTGTGTCTACACATGCTCAGCGGTTGTGGCATATTTGCAGACAATCAGCACTGATCTGCTAGGTCCTTAAGACCTGGCGAAGATCCCTACGGCATGCCTGCACATGGACCAGATCTGAATTCAAAAGTGCAGAATAAGGAGAACATTCCCTATAAGCATGACAACGCTGGACGCCATGTACTAGTAAGTATGTGTTTTCCTATTTTCATATAGGGGCAGGTTTTAGGGTTTAAAAATTTAATATTTGTTAGTAAGGGTGGAGTTTCTCTTTAACTTTGAATCCAGGAGTGTTTACTCTCCGCATACTCTCAATGCTTGCTAAAATGGGAGATGCTTTTATATTTTTTTTTTTAGCTACACGGTGCATCCAGAACAAAAAGCAGTCCAAGCTATGCGTACATGGCTTATTTGTTAATAGATGTTTTTTTCAGTAGTGTCCTAATTAGGTGTAGAGAGTTGCATTAACAATATGAAGGTACTGCATCATTTAATAAACACATTTCAAATAAAAACATACTTTAACATTTGCAATGGTGAACACTATATGCCATAATAAATGTATATTGATGGCCATATATATGTTACGCTTCTTTAAGCATGACTGCTATTCTCGGGTCCTCTAATTAGATTTCCTTCAGATTCATGTACTATAATAAATAATTATGTGTCAATGTGTGTGTTAACTGTATTTCTATATACTTACATTCTGCTGGATAATCATAATAAAATCCATGCTATAGCCAATGGAATTGACATCTTAGAACTGGGCCTATTTAACTAGGCAGTACCAAAAGCTCGTATATATGTTCTCCAATCCCAGAGGATGCCATTTTTGGAGAAACGTGCGTCGGGCAGAGCTTTCCGTGAAGTCACCTTGTTCCAGCCGGTGGTCTGACACCGCGAGAATTTTAAATGTTTACACTGCCTTTATGCACCTTATCTATGTAAGTGCAATACTTTAATAAATTATTTGCTGGTTTATCGGGTCGCACTATGAAGTTTCTAAAGTTTTTAAACCGTTCCTTGCATGATGTGGAGAGCTGTCTGATGTAGGGGCGGATTGACCATTTGGGTACTCAGGCACTGCCCGAGGGCCCGGCAGTAGGGGGCCCCATGAGATACCCCTGGTGCATTTCATAAGCTTTTTTTGGGTGTGGGTGAGGACACAGGGGCCCCATGATCCCCTATTGCCCGGCGGCCCCATGAGTTGTCAGTCCGCCCCTGGTCTGATGTGATGGATTTGTTCAAGTGAACCTGCAGTTGTCCATTCATCTCCTATTCATCTCCTTGATATGGCTAACTAGGGTGTCAGTGTGGATCTGAACACCATCTGCTCATTTGATCTCTTGATTGGAGATAAAAGTGTCTGGTAAGAGGCTGTTTTTTTTTCTTTTGTGTCAAGCATTTGTGGACACCTATGCACTTTCCGTTGGAGGATTTCTTTAGCACACAGCACTGTGTTATTTAATTATTTAATATATGCATGTGGAGTTATATAATTTCAATTAGTTTATTCACATTTTGTATGTAGCAGTATTCATTTGATTTATTATTGTTTATGATTTTTTAGTGTACAGCGCACTCATTTTTTATATGTTTTGTATTTTCTGGTGTTCTGGGAAAGAGTAGCAGCAGTTCACTAATTGTTTCAGAATATATATATTTTTCTCACATTTATTTACATATTGTATTGTCTGGAGTGTAGCACAGGTTTTTCCCCCTTTTTTCTGTCAGTACAAAAAGCTAGAATCTATGTAAAATATGTAACCAATCAAATCTCATTTTACTGAAAGTCGGTAGAAACCTTAAAGTGGTTGCAAAGTCCACTTTAAGACTTACCTGTAGGTATAGTGAATATGTCCTAAACATGTACCATTTTGGGAGATATTCACATTTGTAGAGGCTGGTGCATGCGCACTGCGTTCCCAAAGGACAGCATACTGGAGTATGCCATCCATCCAGAGTGCTGTGCCACGACCAGGGGCAGACTGACCATTTGGAAACTCGGGCACTGCCCGAGGGCCCGGGGTCAGTAGGGGGCCCCATGAGATGCCCCTGGTACCTTTTTCATAGGCTTTTTTGAGTTTGGGCAAGAACACAGGGGCCCCATGATCCCCTATTGCCCGGGGGCCCCAGGAGTTGTCAGTCCGCACCTGACCATGACTCCCGCACGCATGCCTGGGAGTCACATTATCCCGGCCCCACCATTCAAACATCTGGAGCTCCAAACCCGGATGGAAGACTGGGTGAAGATGGAAGCACCAACAGAGGGGACAACATGCTGCTGAAGGGCTGAGGTTTAAGGTAAGTCTATCATAATGTTCTAGTATGTAGTACTACATTATGACTTAAATGCCCAAGGCCCAATTTTTTTTCTTTACTAATACTTTACCTGGATGACATGAATTGTGTCATAAACAAAATTTTCTTTTTCATCAAATAATTTTACCCCTTTCTATTTGTTTTTGCATCTATTGAGGAAAAAGCGGCATTAAAAATGCACCTAAAGCAATGTTTTGCAAATGTGTTTAGGTGCATCAAGTGCTTGGACGTTCATTCGTTCCACTGGCAAGAATATTAATCTACAGTATTCTAGCCTTTGGAATGAATGAACACCTAGTCTAAAGCTTGCTTAGACGCATTTACATGCATTTGGGCACATTAAGCGTTTTTTTTTGGCATTGGAACGCTCCTATCCTGAATGCACTGGCCCTGGGTTTTTTACTGCCTCTAAACATACCTGCCTCTAAACACCTGTAAATGCCTATGTGTACATGGGTCAAAATTCGACCGATTTTTCATTTGAAAATCTAACCTAAGAATAATCAGCTGATTTTCACTCTGTTAGTGGGTCAATGGCACTGGCCGATTTTCATGGTTCTCCCCTTTTCGGTGATCGGGCATGTTGGAAAATGTGTGAAAAAACTACCGATTTTCGACTCGATGGTCAAATTGTACGATCGTTTTTCCGAAAAGAATTTGCGCATGACCCGTGATCTGGAAGGAACAGAAGTTTCGCCTCTTGTATGGGGTGAACTTTATGACTTGGTCGGCCGATTTTCGAAATCATTGATGGCACCATTGGATTACCAAGCGAACATTTTCGATTTTTGGACGAAATATCGTTCAGAATTTGAACCATGTATGGCCTGCATAAGGCTAACATTAAGGGGCGTTTAGAAGCTGAAAAAGAATGCAAATGCATTCTATAAGTAGCGTGCAAAACATCCCATGTGCATGAGGCCTGCCTATTGATTTAATTCAGCCTTTTTCAGCCATTTCTGGCCTGCATGCAATTGCTGCAACTTCACCTGCACATCATTGTCCTGGGTTGGTGTCTTGATAGGGACAATGGCATACCATACTGGTGGAATGTGAGCTAACATTGCCACTTGTGGACACAACCAGAGGCATGTTTAATTGGCCACTTATAGGCTCCATGGGAAACCTCTGAGGTTTCTGACAATGCACTAGTGCAACTGGAAGACAAGGACAGAGAGTTGTTTCCCTGTAATAGGATGTGCCTGGACAAGGACCCTCATGACAGGATCTAAAATGATTAATAACTTTTCTTTTTTTGAAGCTCCGCAGTGCAGTTAGCACACTTGAAACCAGGGGCTGACTGACAACTCATGGGGCCCCCTGGGCAATAGGGGATCATGGGGCCCCTGTGTCCTTGCCCAAACTAAAAAAAGTCTATGAAAAATGTACCAGGGGCATCTCATGGGGCCCCCTACAAACCCCGGGCCCTCGGGCAGTGCCCAAGTTTCCAAATGTTCAGTCCACTTCTGCTTGAAACTAAATATCAGGTACAAAAAAAAAGTGAGCACACAAAAGTGAAAAACACACAAAAAGGGCACAGGGTGTACACATGGTGCTCCGAAGAGAAAGAACTCTTGTCCTGATCCCCAGGGCACAAGGCTCCTGACAGGGACTGGGGTACTCATGGTTCACCCAGTCGATACCGGGCAGACCCCTTCCTGCCAAAGAAAGACCCAAGTACTAGGTGGGACTCCCCTGAAGTGAACCATGGTTGGGGGAGAACCTGACCAAAAGGCCATATGTCCTTCCCCTAGGACTTTCAAGGCAAGTTTATTTTTTCCATCTGTGTCCCATTGGGGAGATTTACCTTCACTTCTTGTCCCATAGCCACAATAGGAAGTGAGAAGATATCCCTCCAAAGTTAGGAAATACCTGGTTATTACCAGAACTAATGTTCTCATTGGAAGATTTCCTCTCTATTCCTGTGCTGGTGATAGCTCAAAAGTTAAGATTTTCTTTCACATTTGGTGATTACAATAAACAGGACATATAGAGATGGTGACTCTACTTATTGGAAGCGCAGACAGCAATAAAAACCTGACAGGTATGTGAATCCCTCTCCACTCTATCCAAAACTAAAAGCTTATAATTTAAATTACCATGTTAAAACTTATATGGAACTTTAGTGATTGGGTTTGCATCTTCTTGAAGACAAAATATGAAATATAAATTTAATGTGGTTGCTCTAAAAATATAATCTGAATAAACAAACTTGTGTTTGGATTGATCCAGCTTTGTTTCCCAAATTGGTACTTGGCATCAAGCCCATGGTGCACCTACATTATCTGCACTGCTCTGGCAGCCATCATCTGTCAGTGGGTGCAGAAGAACCTCTGTTCTCTTCTATAAATAATAGAGATTGCTGTATGTGTACATCATATGCTGTACACATTGACAGACACATAATGTAGAAAGTTGTGTCCCTGAGAGAGGCAGCATAGGCTAAAAGTACAAAGAAAACTTCATGGGACAAAAAATAGGCCCGGGCATTTTCGACTGAGCAGCCAATTTACGAGGGGGGGGGGGCAGGAGAAGGGCATTCGCAGGGGCAGTTGGTAACGGAATATTCATAAAGTCGGTCCTCTGCATTGTAATGTAAAGGGGCACTGTGATATAAAGGGGACTGCACTGTAAAGGGGTACTGTATTGATTACAGTGCCCCTTTACAGCGCAGTCCCCTTTATATCACAGTGCCTCTTTACATTACAGTGCCCTAGAGATCTAATCACAGTGCCCCCTATATATTTTATATTATATATATAAAAGAGATGGCCCAATCCAGCGAAGAGACATCCCAATCCAGCAAAGAGACATCCCCATATAGTAAAGAGACAGCCCAGTCCAGCAGAGACATCCCCATTTAGCAAAGAGACATCCCAATCCACAAAGAAACATCCCAATCCACAAAGAGATGGAATGCTGGACAGGGATGTCTCTTTGCTGGATGGGAATGTCCCTTCTTGGACTGGGCTGTCTCTTTGCTGGATTGGGATGTCTCTTTGCTGGACCCAACTGAGCAAAGAGACAGCCTAGTCCAGCAAAGAGACAGTCCATCCAGCACAGAGACAGCCCATCCAGCAAAGAGACATCCCCATCCAACAAAGAGACATCCCCGTCCAGCAAAGAGACATCCCCGTCCAGCAAAGAGACAGCTCATCCACCAATGAGACATCCCAATCCAGCAAAGAGACATCCCCATATAGTAAAGAGACAGCCCAGTCCAGCGGAGACATCCCCATTTAGCAAAGAGACATCCCAATCCACAAAGAGATGGAATGCTGGACAGGGATGTCTCTTTGCTGGATGGGAATGTCCCTTCTTGGACTGGGCTGTCTCTTTGCTGGATTGGGATGTCTCTTTGCTGGACCCAACTGAGCAAAGAGACAGCCTAGTCCAGCAAAGAGACAGCCCATCCAGCAAAGAGACATCCCCATCCAACAAAGAGACATCCCTATCCAGCAAAGAGACATCCCTGTCCAGCAAAGAGACAGCCCGTCCAGCAAAGAGACAGCCCATCCAGCAAAGAGACATCCAAACCAGCAAAGAGACATCCCCATCCAACAAAGAGACATCCCAATCCAGCAAAGAGACATCCTGCCCAGCAAAGAGACAGCCCATCCAGCAAAGAGACATTCCGTCCAGCAAACAGACAGCCCGTCCAGCAAACAGACAGCCCGTCCAGCAAAGAGACATCCTGCCTAGCAAAGAGACAGCCCATCCAGCAAAGAGACAGCCCAATACACCGCCGCTACAGAGCTGTTACAGTGTAAGAAGGAAAGAGGCCGCCGTTATCCCTTCAGTGCAGCTGTATGTGCAGTGGCCAGGCTGAGGAGGTGTCTGTGTGTCCTCAGCGTTGCTTCCTGCTTGTCACTGGAGCCATCACTGCCACTCCTCCTGCTGGGCCTGCTTTGGGCATAGCCGCACAGAGGGAGGTGAGCAGCGGCCATAGTCTGTGTTAGCCCTGTCCAGACCACAATCGCCACTTACCTCCCGCTGTGCATACAGGTGTATAAAGGTTCTCCTGCTTCTGCTAACAGCTGCTGATGACTGTAAATGCAGTTCTAACTAGCATCAGGCTTCATGGCTGTGATGCCTGGGAACACAGGATCTTAAACAACCTATACTGAAGAAAATATGTAGGTTGATAATGCTGCCTCCCCCTGAAATTGCTAGTTGCCTAATTGTCATGCTAATGATTTAAACAAATTAAGTGGCTAACCTGAAACACTATTCAGATAAGTATTTCTGCATCACTTGCTACATGTTTGTTCTACTCAGAAAGTGTTGAGGCCTGCTTTTTGCAGAAACGTGCTACAGTCCATTTAACATGGTTTCCTATGGGACATGTTCACATCTTTGCATTTTTCAGCCGATGTGTTTTTGGAAAGGGTCAAGGACTTTTTAAAATGCAAAACAGTGCATTTTTGGTTCAATAGAGTTCAATGGTGATGCTGCAGAAAATGCATGTAGTGCGTTTTTTTTTACGCTTTTTTTGATACATTTTGTGTTTTTAATCTGCCCAACAACAAATTGCCCCCCAAAAAAACATAAAAAACACAAAACACATTAAAAAACCATAAACATGTGCAAAAACACACTGCAAAAACCACTGAAGAAATGGATCAAGCGCAAACTTCATAGGTGTCAACCAGGCCTTAAGCCTGAGAATGCCAGGAAACAAGCATTTCAAAAAGGGAGAGGAATCAAAAACAGAAATTATTATTATACAGTATTTATATAGCGCCAAAGGGTATGCTCAGCGCTGTACAGTAGCAGGGGACAGAACATGAGACAAGACAGTAACAAA